ACTAATTTGAATCCCATTTCTCCACCTCAGAAGCTATTTTCACATATTAGTTTTGAGATCCCTGCTTTATTAATGAGTGTGACAGAAATTTGGATTGAACAGGTGCAAGTATTTGGGAGGTAGCAGAAAACGATAAATCTCACTGCCTTGCCTGAAGAATTTATGGATTCAAAAAAAGAGGACTATCATGTTCTTGGGACACATGAAGGGGGAAGCAAAATGAAGCAACACAAGTGAATTAAAAAGCTAGTAAGAGACTATGGTAGATTAGGAAATAACTGATAAACCCATGTTCCACAGAAGGCTCTTCTCTCAGGTAACAAATATCAGGACAAGAGGAAATGGCCTCAAGTTGCACCAGCGGAGGTTTAGATTAGGTATTAAGGAAAAATTTCTTCACTGAAAGGATGATCAGGCATTGGAACAGGCTGCCCAGGGAAGTGGTGGAACCACCATACCTGAAAGTCTTCCCAAAAATGTGTAGATGTGGCACTTGGTATCATGGTTTAGTGACGAACACGGCAGTGCTGGGTTAACAGTGGGACTTTATCTCAGAGGTCTTTTCCAAATGTAATGATTCTATGACCAGAAACTGAAGTTGTACCTAGACTATTTAAACTCATCTGTCATTAAAAAGCCATCTCTACGAGGAGGACAAAGCATCTGGTTCCACATCCACACCTATTTATGTCCTTAGGCTCTGTCTGCTGGACAATCAGGTATGAAAAGCTACACTACAACCAAAAATGTATTGCGCCCTTTGTACCCTGTATCGACCATTGCTACGGGGCACAGCAGCCAGTTACCAAGACTCTCTGCACTCTCCTGCTTCTGAGGATCCACCTTCCCCTCAAGTCTAAGAGCCAATGCACCAGCAACACATTCAAAGTAAATCTGACACGCAGACCAAAGAAACTTAATACGAATGTAATTTTCATACTATAAAATTTAAAAATGTGACAGTATCAGAACAGACACTTATAGAAGTTAAATGGTTTTGAATTTTATATAAGATAATGTAAAAGCTGAGGACTCTCAAGACAAACCAGGATCATATACTGGAGCACATCTATATCTCAAAAGGCAAAAACAAACCCAAAATCCCAGGCTACTTTTCACCTTTGAGGTATGCCAACACTCCTTTGCTGCAGTCCATTATGTGTGTATATAAGTCAGCTCCAGAAAATAAGAAAGCACAGGAGGATTTTGAAAAAATTAAGATTTATGAAAGTCATTGTTCCTCAGTTAAGACATAGTTACTACACTTGCTGGAAGTGTCTATGAACTTTTTCTATATCATATATACAGCTCCCAGTAACTGCACACAATTACTACCAACATTTTATTCTCCAGTCACACACTACACATGAATTCTTGGTACCAACCCTGTATTTGAGAAACTGCTTTAGACAATTGGAGTTTCCTTACATTTGTTCATCAGTACAGGCTGGGGGCCGACCTGCTGGAAAACTGCTCCACAGAGTAGGACATTGGGGTCCTGGCAGATAACAAGCTGTCCGTGAGCCAGCAGTGTGTCCTTGTGGACAAGGAGGCCAATGGTATCCTGGGGTGCATTAGGAAGAGCATTGCCAACAGGTCGAGGGAAATGATCCCACCCCTCTACTCAGCCTGGTGAGGCCACATCTGAGTGCTGTGTCCAGTTCTGGGCTCCTCAGGCAAGAGAGACAGAGATCGTGGAGAGGGTCCAGAGGAGGGCTATACAGATAATCAAGGGACTGGAACATACCTTATGAGGAAAGGCTGATGGAGCTGGGCCTGTTCAGCCTAGAGAAGAGATGACTGAGAGGGAATCACATCAGTGTCTGTAAGTATCTGAAGGAAGGGTGTCAAGAGGATGGAGCCAGGCTCTGCTCAGTGGTGCCAAGCAACAGGACAAGAGGTAAGGGGCAGAAACTGATGCACAGGAAGTTCCACCTGAATATGAGGAAGAACTTCTTTACTGTGGGAGTGACAGCACACTGGAACAGATTACCCAGAGACATTGTGGAGTCTCCCTCACTGGGATATTCCAGAACTGTCTGGATGCAATCCTGTGCTGTGTGCTCTAGGATGACCCTACTTGAGTAGGGAGGTTGGACTGGATGACCCACTGTAGTCCCTTACAACCTGACCCATTCTGTGATTATGTGATTCTATCCTATACAATAAAAAGTATTTGAGCAATGATGGTATTTTATAACTGAGTATGCTGCTGATCCTCCTAAAAATTAGGGCCAGGCTAACTTGCAATAAGTATATCTGACTTTTCTACAACTGCTGCTTATCTAAGAAGGCACAACAATAAATACTATCAGTCTACTTATATTTAACAGTGAAAAAGTGTTTAGTACAGAGCAACGGCATACAGTCAGAAAGATGCTGACATGAACTACATTTAACAAGGCTCTAACACAAATGAATTGGTCAGCCAGAAATGAGATTTGGAGCAATTTATCATAAGAGGGAGCAATTCTTACAATCCCATTGCTGTCATTTACTGATATGCTTGCCCTTTTCAGAAGTATGAGTTCACTAATTAATTGTCAAGGTGCAGAATTACATGAACTGTCACATGGTGGTAATACACTATAGCACCATAGTCATTATCAGAGTGCCCAATAAGTATCCAAAATACAAACTATTCCTAAAGTGCTACATGGAAATTTAAATGGAAAACATTCAGCTTTGGAGCAGCTTTACCATCCAAAGTGAACAGTCTTACTTTGTGGTTGTTCTGAATCTACTCAGCTCTTTAGGGTCTCAGTGCTGTTAAAAAAGCACAAGTTCTTAATTTTCTACATCAAGTATTAGACACTGAAAAAAGTATTTTCCTGCATCCTAATCAAATGGACTTCCTTTAATAGACAACTTCTGAAATAACTTATATATAAGAATAGGAGAGCAGCTCTGAGGAGCAGCCAGATTTTCAACAGACCTTCCTTTAAGAACTGCTAAACTAAGAGTGCTATAGATAACATTTCAATATTTCCCTCTGTATTGAATTCCTCTGGGCAGTGTATTTGCACAAGCAAAATCGTTACTGTCTGATGACAGTTACAGAAGACTATGCCCACACCTCATGTTGCTGAAGACTATTACTTTATGTGGACACAAACCAGTAAAATTTAAAGATGAATGACAGGTATATTTAATGAAAAATTTCTCAGAGTACAGACACATGTTTGGAATGTCATAGGCAATGTTTCTATCGTATGCAGCATTTCTACTCAAGTAAAAACACTTGTGCCACTGGAGTATACCTCATTCTCTGAAACGTTCTGAATTACACCAACAGAAGTTATATTTACATCAGGCAAATTCGGATGCCTAGCAATACTGACAAGCTTCTTCTACCCAATACATTTATCAGAGCAAGTAAAATCCCTCTTTGAAAGTTTTCTCATTTAGAAAACTGTAAAGAAGCCATGACAGTACCCACAGGAAAGAAACCAGATGGTATCAGCAAAAGTGGAGGACGAATGGAGTTTTCTATGTAAGAAAACACAGTGCAAAGCCTTTCCTTTCCTCTTCTTCCTCATCCCCAGGAAAGAAACGAAAAAAAAAAAAATGAAAGAAAAACTCTTTTAGATCTGAGAAATCTACCAGAAGCTATCTGTATATGTAATATAGCCTCTAAAAAAGCCTCGAGGCTTCAAATTATTAAGAAAAAAACACAATAAAATCCCACCACAATCCTCCTTGCTGACATTAATAAAAGTTAAACAAATGACAAGCTATACACACCAGTTGTTACTTAACATATCGCAAGATATGTAACATTTCAGGAAGAAAACGAAAGGCTTCCCAGCTAGTTGTTTGGGACATCCTGAGTCTATCAAGTCTCTCCACTACCAGTCTTTACACCTCCACGGCCTATTAACATAAGTGACTTTTTCTATTCTGTTACTTGGCTTCCCCTATTCACAGTGCTACAATAAAAACAATATGGCCTTTGCGGTCACTATGCTGGCACATGGAATTACATAGAACAGTAAATCTGTGAACTTTATTGCAGGAGAACCACCCACGCTTTCCCTGCTCGATGGCTACAGCAGCACTTGTTGATTCTTGGTTTGCAATAAAAAACCTCCAGAGCAGCAAACCCAAGTTCCTGGATGCTCAGCTGCACACACTGCAAGGGCTTCAGGCCTTAAGAGAGCCTATCACTGTCAGAAAAACCCAAACACGCAGGGAAACCTAACTGAGCTCGGGGACAAAAGTTTTGATTCATCGTTTGCCTGCTGTCCCTTTTCAGCAAGTCGTTGAAATTCCTTCCTCCGCCTATTGCTCGCTCATAAACGCGTCGCGCCGCCGGGACGCGGCAGTGGCACCTGTCAGACCTCCGGCCGGGCATCCCCAGGGCCTGGCCGGGCACCATCGGCACCATCACCACCATCACCTCCGCCCGTGCCAGCCGCAGCCCCGGGAGGCCGGCCGGGGCACCACTCGCCCCCACGTTTCCAAGCCCCACCGCGGCGCGGAGATGCTGCTCCCGACCCGCTCCCGCCTCCGGCGGCCCCGCGGGCGGGCAGGGGGCGGCGGACACGTGTCCCCCCCGGCCCGGGCTTACCAGCTCTTCCTCGCGCTGAGCTCGGGTCGGGGTAGGTTCAGCCACCCGGAACATAACCCGGCGCTCCGCCCGGCGCTCCCCGGGGAGGCTGGCGCCGCTTCGCAGAGACTGTGCCGAGGGGAGGCGGGCGGGGGCCGGGGCCGGGCGGGCTCGGCCGGGCGGGCGGGCGCGGCGGCCTGCGCTGCTCCTCAGTCCCCCATGATGCGGGCCCGGAAGCGGCCGCGGCACCGGAGGAAGCCGGGCGCGACCACCTCGCCTCTTCCCAGCCCTCTCCCGGCCGCTACCAGGGGCTCCGCGTCCCCTCCAGCACCCTCGTCTGGACCCCGGTGCAGCCCCGCGCAGCCCCCGCTGCCCCCGAGCGGTGCCGGTCCCTGCCTGCGCGGCCGCCGGGGCAGCGCCACCCCCGCGGCCCAGCGCAGTGGGACGGTCCCGTTGCCATGGCGGCGGCGTCGGGAGGGCGGGAGGAAGGAGGGAGCATGGCCGCCCTGGCCCGGCTGCAGGAGAGGCTATCGGAGCTGCGAGAGGAGTATTTCCTTGCGAACAGGTACCCGGGCCGTGCCGGTGGTGGGGTGGGTCACACCTCCTCATGCTGGGCTGGGGCGGGCGGGCGACCCCCGGCTCTCCCTCGGCAACGAGATGGCAGCAGTCCCCCTGGAAATTGTCCAGTTCTGGGCTCCTCAGTACAAGAGAGACATGGAGCTCCTGGAGTGGGTCCAGCGGAGGGCTACGAAGATGATCAAGGGACTGGAACATCTCTTACGAGGAAAGGCTGAAGGAGCTGGGCCTGTTCAGCCACGAGGAGACGGGTGAGAGGGAATCTCATCAATGTCGATAAGTATGTGAAGGGAGACTGTCGAGAATGGAGCCAGGCTCTTCTTGGTGGTGCCAAGCAATAGGACAAGAAGCGACGAGCAGAAACCGATGCACAGGAAGTTCCACGTGAATATGAGGAAGAACTTCTTTACTGTGGGAGTGACAGCACGCTGGAACAGGTTGACCAGAGAAGTTGCAGAGTCTCCCTGAATGGAGATATTCAGGAACCCTCTGATCGCAATCCTGTGCCATGTGCTCTAGGACGAGCTTGCTTCAGCAGAGAGATTGGACCAGATGACCCACTGTGGTCCCTTTCCAACCTTAACCATTCTGTGATTCCGTTTCACTTTAAAATCCCTCCCGAGAGCACCAGCTCACCTCCTTGGTCCCAAATATTGCCAGTGCGACGTGAGCAGACCTGATGGCAGCAGCACAGTGTCTTTAAGGGGTCCGTTTATACAATAAAAATACCTAATGTACCTCTCTTGCTCTGCCCACCCCCCAACCCCTCGCTAATTTTGAGGGAAAAGGAGCCTCTGGAAACTCCTAAAAGGTGCTGAGCCTCGCGATTTCAGCCCTCTCCACAGGAGCCGGCCCCTTTTCCCCAGTCGCGCCCCAGGAGACTGCTCCTCTCTCTTGCACCAGCATCGTTGCTATTCCTTGAGGATCCCTCATAGAGACGCCAGGATGTGGAACGCCAGCCTTGAGCCCCCTGCACTGGTGGCTTAGGTCTGTGACTGTACCTGAACGCTTGTCCTCTTGCAAGGCACTACTTTTTCTATTTTTTTAATTTTTTTAAAATTTTTTTTTAAGTTGATTGAAAGAAAATCACCCCAACTTCTGAGCGAGTTGATGTTTATTATCCACACTGTTTAAAATTGAGCTTAGTTTCTAAATTAGATTGTGCAACTTGAGTTTCTAAGTACCTGGGACGTGCTTTGTCTTTTTTTTTTACCAAGTTAAGGAGGTGTTTATTCTACTTAAAGATCTAACATATCCCACATAGTGAGCAACAGGCTGTCAGATCAGATCACCTGTTACCCTTCTCACGAAGTGGGACAGTTTGCACTGCTGAGTTTTCTGGCTGCTAACATGGTGATGGCCAGCTTTTCCCAGATCAGATTTTAGGAAATAAAATGTTTTAAGACCAACTTTAATATTGCATAGAGTTGTCCTGTAAACCCTTTTATTCAACTGCACTGTTGCTGTTGCTGTATGTGCAATGCAAATACACACACACACAAAAAAAAGCGTTTAGCATAGTTGTAGTTTAATTTTTCTTCACTAATTAATGAATAATTTATTTTTGAATCTAATTACAACATCATTAGCATGAATAACAAAGCTCCTGAACATTCTTAAAAGTTACACAGACATCAAGTCCTGCCTGCATGTAAAGTGTTGTGTTTTCCTGTTCTTCCCCTGAACTTTTGTTCGTACTCCTGTGGCTGTACACACAGCAGTTCACTAAACAAACATCAGTTACAGGAAACTATGCTTGTATTTCACATATTTCAGGTTAGAAAGAGCAGTCTGAGCCAGACTTGGGAATCCATTGGAGGGCAGCATGCTTGATGTTTGGGGATTTGTTTTTTGGCAGAGCTTTCCAAACCTGAATTGTTTCCCTTTTAAGAATAGGCTATGATTCATCAGCTTCTGAAAATTCAGATTTGCAGCTGAGTATTTAAATTAGAAGATTCAAACAGTCCAGTTCAGCAACTAATCTTAATAGTATTTTTCTGATCTTCGTAACATTCCTGTCATGCTTTATGCAGAACTCTGTTTATGTGAGAGGTATGAGGTGTCTTAAGCCAGCTTTTTAGGGAAAACACCTTTCTAGGAAAGGACTTGCCCAATGATGTCATAATGCAAAAATACCATAAACTTTCACTTTGAGAAATACCCTGTCAGCATAAGCATTAGACTATTCAGAATCCATTAGTGCACTGTCTTAAGTGTTATGCAATTTTATCACTCTACTTGTTCAAGAACCTACTTTTGTTTACTGTAGCATCTGTGTCAGGTGCTGACTTTGAATATGCTTTTTTTACTTTCAGTAAAGTCTTTGAGAAATACCTGTGACTCTAAAAGCTTAATTCAAACAGTGTGACAACTATGCAACCTGATCAAAAGGGCAAATACCTGCCTGAGAAACTTTCACCTCAAACCACTTCTGCTGGCAAGGGCAGTTGAAAGGGTTTGTGGAACTATCTTGTTGTTGGTCTGCTTCAATAAACTTTACAAGGACTTGTAAACTGCCTTGGCCAGGCAAGACAGCATGCCAGCTAAAAAAATCTAACAGGGAGTAAGAGAGGAGAAGGCTTCTGCTCCTCCAGAAGCAGACTGTTGTAATTGCCAAGTGGGTAGGAATGGTTTTGGAGCTGTCACCTCTGACATGGCCGGTCCCACATCTCCTTAATTTCCAGACTGTAATTGTGGATGTCTGTCCAGGCCCAAATTGCTCAATCAAAATCCTTTTAATCAAAATCATTTACCTCTAGGTAAAAGTATTCTGAAGGTGTCTGCTTCCTATGAAGACTCAGAATCTACACAAGAAGGGAATAAGTAAGCTCTCTAGCCAGCTTTGAAAACTTTTTATTCTGTGATCTTAGATTAAAAAAGTCTGTTTCCCACAGTTTTCAGATATTGAGAAGGTCTGGTGATTGTCAGATGACAATGAAAATTTGTGCCTGTTTAACGTGATTTGAGAGCACATGCTGCAGCAGATGATATAAAATGAGTGGAGCTAATGTTTCTTGATCTCTGATAGTAAATCTGCATTTCATTTCACAAGAAATATGGTGGGGATAATCCTAATTTATCAGATAAAAAATAGTCTTGTTGGTGTTTACTGATGCAGTTAATATTGACACAAAACTTTGTTAAACGAGCTCACTGATATCAGCTAATTAAGGAAACTAACCAATAGTAACCTAATTGTTATTTTGTGTCAGGTGTAACAAATTAAAGTATTTGGTAAATATGTTCCTAATAAAAATGGGATAACAAAAAAAAAATCCATGAAAATTAAAATATAATTTTCAGTTCAAAGACTTGACAGTAACTGATGCTTTGAAACAAATAAAAAATAAATAAAAGCCAGAGATGATCTCATAGCTGAGTTTTACCTCTCAGCATTGAAACTCATAATGGTAATGATTTCTTCCTAAATTCTCTTAAAAGCCTTTTCCAGGTTAATATATTTCTTTAATCTCTTTTAGTTTCATGGTTTTCCTTACATTTAGCTTTGTCACAAACACTATTCTCTAGTAGACAGTCACAGAGAGAATGCAAGCAAGGGATATCTCTTGGAATTATTTTCTGATGAGGTCCTTTTACTTGTGCTTCTTGTGTTTCTTTCCCACTTGTGCATGTCTTTCCTTGTACTGTGTCATTTGACACAAAGCTTTGACATCTAATAGCTCTTGAAAATCTCCTTGAAGTCATCAATTCTCCCCTATATCTACCTTGCATCTTCTGCTGCCTCACCAGTATCTCTTTCTAGATAACCTTTCTTTTTGTGTAACTTAAAACCAAATCCTCACCCTTCTCTGTATCCTCCCTTTTTCATTATTTCCTCTAGGATCTGTATTAATCAATGCTGCAACCCTAGCATATTTTGTAATTCTGTTGTTCCCTTTTATTCCCTCTTTGCACGTGTCAATATGCTGCCAGTTTCATATCTACATCATCTCCAAAATCCGTGTCTTTGAATTCCCATTTTGAAAAGTTCTGTCAGGACTCAATAAGCTGTTGCATTGACTGCTGTATTTCCATGTAAAAGATTCCTATGGTCATCCCTTTGGTATCTGTTTAAATTACTAAGTTTCCAAGTTCTGACTTCCTTTTAAGCCACACTAAATTTCCTGATGTTCCAGGCCCTCCAAAGTTTGGAAAGTCTCACACCTAGTTTCTTTCCTATGCTTTCATTGTCATAACAGTATAAACTTACATTTGTATCTCACAAATCACCTTTGATCACCTCTTCTTTTTCATATTTCTCCTCTCGAAATTCCTTCCTAGGAAACTAGATAGAATGTCTAAATCCTCTGTTTCCATCCTGCTAAGGTCAACTCATATTCATTAAAAAAATCCTACAGACAAGGAGTGTATATGTCACCATTATTGATGCTATCAATGTTCAAGTAATAAATGACTAAAATATTTTTTAACAATCAAAAGATAATGTGTTTAAACTAGATCTTACATTTAATATATGGTTCAGATTATAATATTGACCACAGTGAATTTATTTAATATTCACATCGTATACAATATTATACACAGTTACCTGATTTTTCTTATAATTCAGTCCTAATTTTAGTTAAAGCATTATCCACATATTTCACCTGCAATGGAAGTCCACGTGACATGCTGACATGTATATTCAGTATTGTGTGAGAATAAAAAATACATTCTCCCAAAACTTACATCCCCTATGAGTTGCAATACTCTTTATCCTTGTTACCTTCATACTATACAACTAACGTAAATTACATTTTTCTGCACTACCATTGAATTATGTAGAATTAAAAGGTGAAAAACCTAGTGAAAAGGATCCCAAACTGCAACAATAAAACATATTTAGAATATTTTTTTTACTTTGGTTCTACATTGCAATGCTGATAATTATTACTGCTTTTATATTTCCAGATCTATAGATGAAGACAGAAAAATAAAATACAGAGCTGCTGTCAAAATCCAGAGCTGGTTTCGAGGATGGAGGGTCCGAGCCTATCTGAGGTAGTATATTAAGCCCATCTAGCCTATCCTAATCTGTGTTTCAGCCTTGAATTTTTCCTCAGAATTGCTCATGGTATTACTTGATTTTAATAAAATGGGAGCATTTAGGGAAAAAAAAAAGCAACAAATGTTATTCTGCTTTTCAACAGAATGTAATATATGCTGTGACACTGCAAAAAGTAATTTTTGATTTTCAGAACTGCATGCAGTTAAAAAGGCATGATGCTAATAGGTAGCGTGGAAATAATCTATCTTCATAATAGATACACAGTATTCTGTGGGACATCTTGTCACGACTGGAAAAGAAACGAAACAAGCAGATGTCCCTTGGATATGCTGATTGAGAGACTTTTCTTATAGAATGATAGAATATCCTGAGTTGGAAGGGATCATCCAAGTCCAGCTCCTGGCCCTGCACAAGACACCTCTCGAGTCACACCATGTGCCTGAGAGCGCTGGCCAAACACTTCTTGAACTCTATTGGGTTCGGCGCTGTAACCACCTACCTGGGGAGCCTGTTCCAGTGCTCAGTCACCCTCTGGGCAAAAAACTTTTTCCTAATATCCAAGCTAAACCTCGCCTGACACAACTTCAAGCCACTCCCTCAGGTCCTGCCACTGGTCACCACAGAGAAGAGATCAGTGCCTGCCCTTCCTCTTCCCCTCATGAGGAAGTTGTAGACTGGGATGAGGTCTCCCCTCAGTCTCCTCTTCTCCAGGCAGAACAGATCAAGTGACCTCAGCCAATCCTCATAACGGCTCCCCCTCAAGGCCCTTCACCATCTCCATAACCCTCCTTTGGATGCTCTCTTTATATCTTTCTTACATTGTGGTGCCCAAAGCTCCACACAATATTCAAGATGAGGCCGCACCAGTGCAGAGCAGAGCAAGACAATCCCCTCCCTCAACCAGCTGGAGATGCTTTGCCTGATGCCCCCCAGGACAGGGTTGGCCCTCCTGGCTGTCAGGGCACTGCTGACTCAGATTCAACGTGCTGGTAACTGCTGACTCAGATTCAACGTGCTGGTAACCAGGACCCCCTGGTCCTTTTCTGTGGTGCTGCTCTCTCTTCTTGTTGTTGTTACGGAAAAATTGCCTAGTGAGGGTATGGCAACTGGACTTTTATTGTAGAAATTAAGTTCTACTGCTGGATTTAACGAGGTCATTTAAAAAAAAATCTTTCTTTACATAATTTTCTCCATTTATAAATCAGAGATCTTCGTTCTGTAAAATACCGTATCAACATTGGACTTGATCTTGGAGGTCTTTTCCAGCCTTAATGATTCTATGGTTTTATGATGTTGATACAAGCTTCTTGGAAACACTATGATTGGTCTCTTCTCCCTGAAAACCCTCCTCCATTTTTTATGATTGTAAGCCCAACTGGTCAAACTCACGTGCTCAAATTTCTGCATCTTCATAAAAATTAGGGAGAGGGATTTTTACATCTTTTTGTTTGACCTCTTGCCTGTCACGGGTCATTATGTATCATCCAGACAGACTGTGTGAAACCTAAGTAATTATTAGGTTTAATAAAATTAATTATTTAATGGCTAGTATTTCCCTCATAGGCTGCAGTCATTATGTGCACTTGTTAAAAAAAGCACAGGTAATTTGTAAAGCTGCGAAAATGTGCATGTGACATTAAAAATTCTGAACTGATCAGATATGTTGTTTAAAACCATCCATGCAAATAAAATCATCTTATTATGCAAATGAAATTTGTAAGGCTTTTTCATTAGACTTTTGTAATGATAACCAAAATAGGGAAGCTTGCAGTAACACATTTTTTCCAAAAATCAAAGTTTGTGTGTATGCATAAATATAGGTATATAATGGTCTATTTGTATGTGTGCATATGTATGTATGCATACATGTATACGTGTAAAGTGTGTTTGTAGTGATCATCTGTTTGGAATAAGTATGGATAATACACTATATGTTATTTTTTATATTATGAAAAAAAGTTATACTGGGAAGTCTCAAAAAAATTCTTATTTTGTTAATCTATTTCATTTTAGACATCTGAATGCAATGGTGATTTTGATACAGAAGTGGTGGAGAGGATATCGATGCAGAAAACACTTCAGAAAAATGCTGGAGGTAGAAAACTACTTTTAAAAGTTTTGTTTATTTATTTGTAGAATACATAGAAATAATTCATTCCCTCGCTATGAAATTAAAAAGCTGAATCTTGATTCTTTATTCACACAGGCACGTACTTAACTTTACTATCATGAAAAGCACCATTAATTTCAGTAAGCCTAGTCATAACAGTCAAGTTAAGTCAGTGTTTAAGTGTTTGCAGCTCTGGAGTATTAGTCCCCAAACCAGCAATGAGATCTGCTCATGCAGAAGCCTGCTCACATGATGCTAATTGCAGGATTGGAGCTTTAAAAGATGCTTTTTTTTTTTTTCCTGGCAGAACTTCTAATTTTGAAAATAAAATAAGCCAATGTGTCCACACATTGCTGTTTTATGTTTTAGTGGTTTAAATTTCTTGCTTAATGAACCCTGAAGTATTTGAGGTTTTGCCTTAAGGCACACAGCAGATCACAGTCAATCTAATTCCCTTGACAGACCTGAAGATAGCAAAAGTGTATGATACCACACAAGCTAAAACCTCTATTAACAGGTTTAGGAGATTAAGACGAAACTAATTTGCCTTTAACATAAAAAAATTAAGGTTTTAATATGTGGTTTACTTCACTAATTTATCAATTTATGTTAACGTTTTACAATAGTTTTAAACTTGTTAGTCATTTATTCTAGATTAATTTTGTTAAATTGTTGTGTTTTAATCAAAACAGGCAACTCAAGGAAAAGTAAAAAAAAGAGCTGTAATAACTCATACATTACAGACCAAAGTTCATACCCTCTACTGAGCTCTGTTTTCAAGTAGCAGGAGTCATGTACCTGAAAGATTGTCTATTTTTCCCCCAAGTTTATCAGTAATCTATTTAAAGATTTTCTCTCTTCCAATTTACTAACTGGCTTAACTAATAAATTATGAGCCGTCCTTTCAGGCTGTGCTTTTCAGTCATCTCTAATTCTTGAATATAGAGCAGATAGCTGCATGGTTGGATTGGGTTCTGTTTCAAAAAAAGAGAAGGAACTTGGTCTGAATATTTTTCCTGAGCTTAGAGAAGGTTTGTTTAATTTACAGGAGCTTCTGCAGAATGGAGACATGATAATGTATCTTAAATTTTTTAAGGAAGAGAAAGGATCTATGCAGTCATTGGGAAAAGGGAGAGAAGAAATCAAATTCATGTGAAATATTGATGCATACTGCCAAAAGATGTTGTGGAACTCCCTCTAGTGCAGGTTGTTAAGAGGAGAATAGAAAAATGCTTATGGATGGCTTAGATACACTTCAGGCAATGTTTTAGGTGAAGTAATCTCATAATGTTCCCTCGAGTTCTACATTTTTTCAGAGTTTAAGCATTGTAGAGGGATGAATTTCATTTCAGAAACAAGGTGATTCATGTGTTTCTGTGTTTTCCAAGATGAGAATAAGGACCATGTCGGTTTTTGACATCTGATCATTAGGTTTTCAAGAGGGATTAATCAGGATTAAGGTCTGATGGCCAATTTTCAATCCCTGCCCGATTATAAGGAGCTTTCTTTCGGCCATTCATGTTCAAATGCTAGTTTCTTTGTTGATAGTAATCAGTTTCCTGTTTTACTTTTATGTGTAGTGGTTGTAAGAACAGTGGTGCCCAGATAAGATACAAAGTGAACACATAACCACCATGCTTACTGTCCATTGCACTGTTCTGAGTGGTGTCCTGTAGGTCAGATGGCAAGATAATTCTTCCCAGAGAGCCAGCCTCAATGGCATTTGGAATTGGTGCCCAAGGACAGGATGAGAGGCAGTGGGCACAGAGTGAAGCCCAAGAAAGTCCACTTGAAGATAAGAAACAACTTTTTTTACTGTGAGGGTGCTCAGATACTGGAAGGGGTTGCCCAGATTGAGCAAGCTGTTCTTGCAGAGTTTCCACTCTTGGAGATACTCAAAACACCATGGCACAAGGCCCTGCACAACTTTCTCTAATTGACCCTGTTTTGAGTAGTGGTTTGGAGCTTCAGAGGTTCCTGCCAACCTCAGTTGTTCTATGCATTCATGAGATCAGAGGTCTTTTACCTCACCTCTTTGTTCTGTCTTCTTTTTCCCTGTCTTCTTAAAAAACGCTCTGACAGTTACATTTTAAGATAGAATCTTTCAAATTAGCACAGATTTCCTGTAATAATAATGAAGCTGAGAGCTAACATCATAAAACCCCCTCAGCTCTCCATTCTTTAAATATATTTCTGAAAAGAAAAATAAAAAAGTCTTTAATCAATAAAGCCTAGTTCATATTTAGCTCTTCAAATAGACATAACTGACAAGCTCTTGCCAAATCTGAAGTCTGTGAAATAATGTAGGACAAAAAATTCTACAAGCCCACACTTAGTACGTACATTCTAAATCAGACCGTGAATTCATCCAGTTTCTGGATTCCAGTACTTATCCAGTGCTAGCCAGGGCTCTAGAGAAAGACAATCTCATCAGAAAGCTTACAAATTTTACAGCAATCAGCATAGAAAACCACTTTTCCCCCTCAAATACTTCATTTTGTGCTTGCCATCTCTCTGATTGGAGAAGACTAAATAGGACAGCCTGATTGGAAGGCAACCTGAAAGCCATACAAGTAGCAGATACAGATACCTTTTACTCCCTTTAGACTGCTATATTCAGTATTGTGTGATTTGGGGTGGACTTAAATATGAAGTTCAAATTAATGCCTTATATTTGTTGTTATGCTGTCTTTACTCAATGGCTGAATTTGGAATATGTTAAAAAAACCCCAAATCTTCTCAGCAGCTTAACATAACTTTCAAGTTAAAAGGATCAGTTAATGCTTGCAATGGACTCTTGCTAATAACAGCTGTAATGACTCCTGACCATGAAACACAGTGATACATTTGACATGATAGTTCCTTAAATACACTGGTCACTTTAAAATTTGTCTGCTGATAATGATTGGATTGGTATCTGCTGCCAGCAAACAAGGCAAAGCATATGCACAAAATACCCATGATTGCTTGATAATAAATCATTTTAATGATTATATTCAAAATTGTGAAATGTGAGTGGTACTGATGCGGAAAATAACAAAGGCTGAGGCTCATCAGATTGGTTGTCCATATGTGCATCACTACTAGTATTTCATTTTCTACTCCTCTACTGCCTCTTTTTTGACTGTTAAAATCCATTAGTAAAAAATAATCACCTATTGATGCCATTCATATGATTAAGGTTATGTGCCTTTCAATTCCAAATATAGGTTCTTTGGTATAAAGCTTTGTTTCCTAATTAATCTCAAGCTAAAATTAAGAACTGCTCTCCTATGATTTTCTTAATAATTTAGTTACATTGACTATGTGGGATTCTGAAGTTTTGCATGACGTGCAGAAAAGTACGAATTTTAAAACCAGGCAAGCACCAGAACGTGAATCAAACTGTACATCACTGTTTCTTTATTATACTATTTCTCAAAGTCAAATAAGCACTTGTTTCAGGAAGGGGAATTGTAACATTTAATTGTTATATGAAGTTGGCATGCATGGTGGCTGTATTTTTAGCTTACTTTGAAAGGAGATACAGTTGAGAAAAGTGAATATTTTATGTGATATAGTTTGACACCACCCTAAATGGTTTAGCTTCAACTCAGCAACCAGTTTTAAATAATTCCAGTCCAACAGGAATTAGTCAAATGCCTATTTGCTCTACAAAAACACCCAAACCATCACAAGAACACGCCAATTTAGACAATGTGTTTCTTCCTTCTCTCAGCCTTAACCTCAATCAGATTTCTGGATCTCGTTTGAATTTGTCATTTCATATTAACTGTTTAAAGCAATAGAAAACCCCAGTCAGAATCAGATCACATTTGTAGGTGGTCCCCAAACATGTTTTTACATGCAAAAAGAGAAAATAGTACAACAGTTTATAAACAAAAGGCTTCAAATATATTTTGGAAACATGCGCTTGAAGTAAGCGCATGAATTAAGTAGGAAGACCTGTAACATCAGGGAGATACAAAGACTTCATGATTCAGAAATGGAGCTGGTACATGTGGTTGAGATGGCAAGATAATTTTCCCCAGAGAGTTAACCTGGCAGTGTCACCTTCAGTTGGCACTCAGTGAAAAAATGACAAGCAATCCATTGGACACAGGCTGAAATGCAGGTAATTCCGCTTAAGAATAAGGAAAGGGTCTTCTGGACAAGCAGGCCCCAGTTCACAAAAGCATCTTTTGTTTAGTAGGAGAGCACATAAGTGTAGACTTGGGTTGAAGCACTAAATTATGACTGTTCTTTTGTGAATAGGGATGAACACATTTTTCCATCACTTGTAATTGCAAAACTTTCTGATCAGAATTAGAAAACAGAGGGCAAATCTATTTGCAAAAGAACCTAGATGGTGACACAGCCTTCAGCTTTTGGTGAAAGAATAAGATTGTAAGACAGTTGTGTGAGCAATTCTGCATTTGGATGACTTGTGATTTAGAGCAATGGTTGAGTAAAAGCAGAAATGTGTAACTTCCTTTTTATTGTGAGTGACCATCTTAAGTGGTGGTAAAGGCCTGGATTTTCACACCTTAGTGAGGTGTGCAAATTAGGACCCTAGTTGCCACTGACTGTCTCTGTAAATAGTAAAGTTCTTCAATACTTTGCCAACCTCAGAGACAGTGGTCCCTCTGTCTTTGAGTGTTGATGATATCAAGAGCATTAATGATGTTAGGTCTCCAATTTAGGTTCTTCAGTGAAATGGGCTGCATTCAGACCTAAGTGCTCACAGCCTTCAACTCGGAGAATAATAAACAAAAAGATGTAAGATTTAGTTTAATAATTGATGGACAGAAATCTGATAAACATTTTTAAGCTTAGGAACTTCCATTAAAACGTACTTTATCTATTTGGTGGTGTGGCAACTCTTACGTTCCCTTGCAAAGAAAGAAAAGATGAGCTGCAAAACAAAATTGTATCAATTTAATCAAACAGTTTAGGAATATACTTAAATCTGGAAGACATTATTTCATTCCATTATTAGCTATCTACTCTTGGTATCACTCAGTAAACATTTATGGAGATGAAGGGAGAGAGACAGTCCACTGTTTATTCTAATTTGTACCTTTGGGGCAGATTTTCCCTCAAATATATATAAATATATATATATATACATGTGTGTATGTATACATCTACGCATACACGTGAAACTTTTTTGAAATTGAACAACCCTGCAATTTTCTTTCACATAAGAAATATTTTTTTGCACTGTTTCCATTATTAGTAGATTGGTATGATATTAAAGTGAGCATTTAAAATCCACCTTAATTAAACTGCAGGAATTATGCCTTGCTTAATGTAATGAAGAAAGAGAATTTAAAATGAAGTAGCATCATTGTGTTCATTTGTAAATAACATATTGCAGCCAACTGTTTCTTAATTGCCCAGACTGTTGATAAATAATCCAGTCCTGCTGCTCTCCACAGACAATTTGCTTTGGATCAGACTAGGCAATTCAAATAACACTAATTACAGTGAAACCCTTTTATAGTGAATTCCTGTTTGCCATGGGGGAGAAAATCACTATATCAGGGGAAAGCACTTTTGCCTTTGATTTGTGTCTAAAACATGAGAAACACATAAAAGCTGCATGTTGTGCTAAATAAAGGACATACTCTTGCATTCAAAGTACTTATATTTTACTTTTTATGATACAATTGTGAATTATGTTCATTTTGCATTTGTAATTAGAGGGCGGAACAGATGTGAAAGCTTAGTTTAAAGTGATGTATCCATTAAAATAACCTATGCTGCCAAGTGATTGCTTAGTATAATAGGGGATTCGTTCACTCTGAGAGGAATTCTACTTTATTGGAAGGAAACCAGGACTTCAGGAAATGTTTTCTATATCAGGGGATTCACTGTAACATGGTATCATTGTATTTATGATTTTATGATGTTAAAATGAATATTAAATGAAACAAAATTCCCAACGATTACTCGGGAGGCAGCTAAGTACATAACATTTAGTACAGATGGTTGGAAGGCACAATTTTGCTCCATCACTGCATCCGTATCCTTGAACGATTTCGACTGAAGACAGCATTTCTTTGAATTTTTCATTAAACCAGACGTCTTGAAATATGAATTCCTTTTATGTTTCTGTGAGTTTTGGCTAAAAGAACCCCAGTGAATAAATCATACAATACTACGTGTCACCAGCACTTGTGAATATTTCTGCTTTGTTATTCTACTCTCAGTAGAGCACCATTGATTATCAAACTCAGCGGAGAGCATTTTATGATCATATATCTCCATTAGCTCCTAGTTTGACTACCATAGATTTTTCTGGTTAAGCCTGCATTATGTATTAGGAAGCCTATCTCTTCAATACAAAGTTTGATTTTATTCTCTGTAAGCCTAGAACTCTTATTATGTATTATGTATAAAGATTCTTATCTTTTATATGTAAAAATAGGAGGACTGTCTTTGTGTAACTGAAATATATGCCATCTTTTTTTTCCTTGGTTCACAGACAGCATATTTTATTATGAAGATGAATTTCTACAATGAAATGGCTGTCAGGGTAAATATTTCTTCCCTTGTTAAACAAATGAAAAGTCAATTGTGCTCCGAATTTGCTTTTAATAAAATGAGCAAACCAGAATAATATACACTTGATTGATATGCTGATGGCAACAGTGGGAAATAGTACATAGTTAAAAATTAAAGTTGCACTCAGTAGTTTGGGTTATATTTGAAAACTGTAGCTGAATTTAAGGCACCTGTGTGTGTCTTGCCCCATTTAAATGTTCATTGTACCTTACCTGATGTGATACTGCTAAAACCCCCAAACATTCTGTTTGCCAATGTTCTTACAAATGTAGACATATTTACAATTCTGACAAACTATAGGGCTTCTATGCTGATTTGCTGATGTAGCTGTGCTTTTTCTTTTGTTGGTACATGACATTTGATGTATTGAATCTCAAGAGTTACTCAGAGGGCACAGGACAATTTCATTGCCTGAACACAGAGGTGGGACTGCACTGATCTCATCGATGATACTATGAGTGAATTTTGCTAAATGAAGAAAAGTATAAACAGTCCATGAACTTTAGTAAATCTACAGTTGATGAAGCTTTTTACAGGGAAAATTGCACAATATGTTTAACTAGAAATTAGCATTTTTATTCACTGAACTTTGGAACTGCATCTAAACAAATATGTAAAACAAACATGGGAAGGACATGAGATAATAAATTTGATGAAATCTTTTTATCTTACTTACTTATTTTGTGATATAAAACTGTTTTACTTGAGAGACCTGTATCTTTTTAGACAAGCTATCTTACCCTTTGAATTCTGCCAAATGTAGGAATATAGTGAGGATGAAGATTAACCCAAGGAAACTCCTGTAAAGTAGGAAGATTCTCAGAATGGATTTTAATTTTGTGGCCTTTCTGGGTCCAGAATAACTCAGAGTCAAGAGCTGCATTCCCATCAGGATTTTTGCTTAGTCCTGGTTCTCTCAAAGGCACAAAGTTGAATCTTACATTTGGTGCAGGTTAGAGAACTGAAGGTGTTTAACAGCGATCTAATTCCTCACAAATGTACTTTCTTGTTATTGTTTTAGTTTATTCCTTAGTTAGCTAGTTGGAAAGTATTCCACAGTGAATAAATGCCATTTACTGCTGCAGCTGAAATCAGTGAGAAAACATAAGATGTAAGCCAGCTCTTAAAAGTTGCCTGTGTACTTTTAGAAGACATTTGAAGACTAAATTTCAGAGGTAATTATGTATTCTAGTCAAATGGAGTTTTGCATTTGGTCTTTCATTTTTAAAAGAAATTGAATGTGTTCCCATTCATTTGTAATGGAAATATAATGTTGAATCATTAGGTGATATAAATCTTCAAAGTACCATTTTTTCAGTCATGTCCTTTTCTTTAATAGAAATTTAAATCAGTAGAAAACAATAGAACAGATCTTTATTTAGTTGCAAATGTCAGAATCGGTTTCTCCTCTATCTAAATAATCTTGTGTAGCCATATCTGCAGAGCAGATTTAAAATGCTACCAGTCTGAAACACTGCATGGTTTTGGTTTTTTTCTGTCATCAGTTTTCTGAAGAACTAACCAAGGTCCAGGACAATCGAGAATCAGGCCTGTTGAGCTTCTGCACAGTAGATGCATGCCCAGACTTTACTTTTCCTAAGCCAACAGTGCCTCATATTCATACATTGGGAGTTTGATTCATGACTAATATAGTTCAGTGTTCTAAAAATATGACACTAACTGTGTATGTCATTCTACATCTCTGTCTTTTGTAACCAGACCTATCAGTTTTACCTTCTAAAATTAAATCAGAGATCTTGTGTTAATCAGTTTCAGTACTAGGTCAAAATATGATTCTCTCTCTTAAAAGATTTAAGGTTACTATAAATTTTCAGCAACAAAAGTAATCCTGTGGCAAAAAAAAAAAATTCCACGAGCAGATGGCTTTTGATATATCAAGGTTTTGCCATTTGTTTTAGTGCTTAAAATAAACATTATTTATAAGACCACTTACATTTTGATGTTACTTAATGAGGAATATGCATCATTGATTTGACTAGCTTAAGAGGTCATTTAGAACTTGCCCGTTAACAAGCTGTAATCTGCTGAGCACACAATGACTTTGTTTAAAATTATCTGTTCAGTGCTGATCAATGACAATAATTGTTTTGTACCAATCACTGTTGAAACTTGCTAATTACTTTGAAGGGCACACACAGTTGTCTCTTTTTTTTCCAAGAATTTTTTAAACATTCACCTTGGAATTAGAAAGAAATTCAGTTGCATCACATTATACTTCCTTATAAAAGGAAACATTTAAAACTTTCACATTGAAAACATGAGCATCATCAGAAGGTGTGCGTAAAATGGTCTTTTCTAAAAAGACTAATCTTCAGTTTTGAGATCTCTGACATACAGTACTAGGGAAAAAGAAATCCAGCATAAAATAATTTGAGACTGCAGTTTTTCTTACTTGTGTTTCGTTCAGTTGAAATCAGTGAGTTCATTCAGAACAGAAAGTGGTGTAAATAAAGATAGAATGCAGCATTTAATTGGTACACTGAGCCCATTGGAGGTAATTATAGCTTTATACAATTTGAGCCCTTTGTCTTTCAGTTTGAGTTTTGATCCTTTAACCCAGAAATATCCAGTTCCGCATTTATAACTGTGAGGTGAAGACTGTCAGAAAGAGTTTCAAAGGGACCATAATCCTGCATTAATGAGCACATGGCTATATGGCAGCCAAGTTGCTCTTGTTGAGAAATTTTTAAGCCAAACAGCAAAACAAAGCTAAGATCCTTATTCACATGCAAAGGATTTTGCTTAATCCCAGATCTCTGAAGGCATACTCATTCTTTGCTCTTTCTCCATTCCTTTTTAACCCAATAAGCTTGTCTATGAGAAAGTGGAGTTGCAGAGTATGAAATTTACTATCACCTAGTGCAAAGCAGCATGTCTAGTGCTTAACCTTTTTTGTTCCCATAATGGTTATTTATTAATATTATAACGATATCTACAGGTCCAAACCCTTATTATTAAAAGAAATGTTTATACAACACATAGGTAAAAGAAAATACCGGCTTTTTAAATTAGTTTTGGGTCTTATTTGGGAAGAGAGGAAAATACATGCTGATGCACAAAGGGGAAATAGAAGGAAATGTTAGCACTGGAAGTTGATATCTTCTTATTCCTAATAACTCCAGCGCATAGTTTAGTTTTCTTCATGACACGTGACTCAAAGATTTAGGGAAAGCTTTTCTGTGATACTTTTCTCTTTTAAGTCCCATGTGAAAAGATAATCATAACTGTACCAGAAAGTGTCATTGATTGAGGCAAAATGCTAGTTTTTACTTTGAATAGTAGTGTTTTGGGTTTTGTGATAGAAAAATGGTATCAAACTATGAAAATATTCAGCCCTGCCTTATTCTTCTTATAGACAACTCCAGTGTGTTACTGTTTTCTGCTCAGGAAAAGTTAGGAGATGGAGAAATTGCAGTCAGTAACTTGTGTCAGATATCACAGTGGTACAGAATTGGACTGCAATGGAACTTGAAGGAGTTGAGAGAAGTTGCCTGTTACTGGAGAGCAGTTCCACGACTTGATGATGCAGACTCTGAAGTCTTTTGACTTTGAATAACCTTTTGAAGGTTATTGATACTAGGGGCAATGGGCAAGTTTTTTTTTAATCTTGCCTTCTTGCTGAATCAAACACAAAACCCATGACATTCTTTCCCTCCTTTTTTTACATGAGTATTTAGAATGATAAAGGGTACGAAAAAAATCCCGATACCACAAACACAGGGATTTCACTGCACTTACCAAGTCATCCCTTGGTTCTGGAAAGAGAAGGGTTGATGTAAAGGGAAAAAAAAAAGAATGTTCCCTGTAGATGCACTGAATAGTTTTAATTCTTGAAAAGTCTAGTAGCTAGAGACCCACAGGGGTAGGATAGCTCTTAGAAAATTAGAACATTCTTCTCTTCAATGCATTTAGTGAAGGGGAGTAACTTCACACTTGGATTTGCTTCTGGACAGTAAAACCTCAAACTTCTTGCTTTTAAAATGTAGATTCTTCCCTTCAGCTGTTATGTCTTTTAAGATTTCAAAGCTGTAAAGGTCAAAGAGAAGGTTGTTGGAGTAGTAATGGAAGTACTGCAGACCAGAAAATAGAAATTTGGAGATTAGTTTAGAAAAATATTGAGGAAAAAGGAGACAAATTTCAAAAAAGGAAGTAAAGAATATTTTTCAGGGAAATTAATAAGTTCAAGGACAGAAGAATGTAAAGACAGAGGAACTAGACATAAGGAACAAAGGAAAAGATCATTAATCTATCATCATTAATCTATGACTAATATAAAACTAATCTAAAAGATCATTAATCTATTCTTCAGATGTGTATATCTAGAATACACTGACCTCTTATGGCAAAGAAAACGAGGAACGAGAGCAACCCTCAGCATGACTGAATAGTTACGTCTTCCTCCTGTACATGTCACAGGGAGAAATGTGAAAGTACTGATAACTTTTTACCTAATCACATAATCATAGAATTACAGAATCATTTAGATTGGAAAAGGCTTTTAAGATCTTTGAGTCCAACCTTTGTCCGATCACCACTAAGTGCCATGTCCAGTCATTTTTTGAACACCTTCAGGGATGGTGACTCCATCACCTCACTGGGCAGTCCATCCCAGTGCTTAATTGTCCGTCCTTAATGCTTACTTTCCCTTCCCACAAAACAGATAGCCAGTAAACAGGTAGTAATTTCAGAAACATCATGATTAGGATTTTTAAGTATCAGAGAAGATTTAAATGTTTTCGTCAAAATCAATTATTGGGGAAAGTCAGGTAGACTAAGTTTCCCTCTCCCCTTTTATTTTTTTTCTCCTTCTCGTTTTTTTTCAATTGATGCTTTTCAAAATGCACCAAAAAATAAATTCTTTCTGGTGGAGGATGCTACTTAATTTCTATTCTTAATACAGCTTTACAAGTAGCTACAGAGAAAGAGGTTTCCTTTTCCAGGTTAGGCTTTCTCTGCTTTGCAGGAGAATGGTATTTCGTGAGAAGATTATAATTTATGTGCAACAAATAGACATGAATCATTTTACACTGGAGATGAAAGAACTGTGGTTTGTAAATTACATTTGCAGAAAGCTTGATTCACTGAAGCACTGGGAAGGCTTTTATTCAGTCTACAATTTAACTAGAGCACAAAGGTGAAAGTGTAGTGTAAGATGTTGGTGAGGTGGTGACTGGTAGGGAATGCTTGTTGTACCTGGGAAAAGACAACACTTCTGTTGTCTGCTTTTTTACTGTTCTGACAGAGCAATGCCACTGGTAGTAGCAGGCACTTTTTTTCATTGTCACGTCCCAATATAAACAGTGGTTTAAAATTTGATACTGTTTTTTAATGTTTGCGTATAATAGTAAATTCGTATTACCATTTAACTACAATATGTTACATCCTACCCTAATTTTCTTCATTGAAACCTATTGGTGCTTCTACTTCATAACACTTTTAAGGAAACCATATTATTTGGGATAAACTACAGATACTTGATATGCATACAAACTTTTGATTTGAAATATACTAAGCAAATATTTATTTCCTCTAGATCCAGAAAAGGTGGCGAGGCTATTACGTTCGGAAATACATCCATAATTATTATGCCCTGAAGAAATACTTGCAAGCTGTTTCTGTGAATAACGCATTTGTCAGGTAAAAACAAAAGCTCCATGTGGTAAAGCATTCATTTCCTCTTCTTTTATTTGTAAAATGTTTATGGCACTAATTAAACTATTTCTTTGAGTGTAGGTTCCCCTCCATTATCAAATATATATATCTATCAGTCATCATTCTCTTTATCCTATGCCTATTCATGTTGCACCACATTCTGTTCTCATTTTCACTGTTATGAATTCAGAATAATTTCTTTGAAATAATTAGATGCACTCTGGGTTAGTACCATTTTAGTACCAAATGAATTTGGCTCTTCACCTATGCTCAGAGCTCATAGATTATTATGCCCTACATATGGTTTGTTGAACGAGATTATTTTTTCCCCACTATACACAAGCTAAACAAAAATTTCTTTTTATAATTTGTTTTGAATACTGATTATTGACAATGAATGCAAGTGCAGATTTGGATTTAAGTTATGTGTATGAGCCATACTATGAATGTTAGTCGTGGAAGATGCTGGTGTTTATATAGTGAAGGAGATTCTTTCCATAGTTGCAGAATAGAACCAGTCGCCAATCGTTAGATTTCTGGCTAGAGCTGTGGTTGCTATATGTTCTTACTCTATTTCTCCTATCCACCCATTGTTTTTCCCTGTACTTAAGTTGAAACCTCTCTAAAATAGAGGTGCTTATTTCCCTGTAGTGCATTTGATGTACTGTTACATGACCATTACTCCATATGACAGTGGAAGCAAACAGACAAAATACTGGGTGACCATGATCATTACTTTCTCATTGTAAATGAAAGCTGTTGGACAAAATCTATCCAGTGTTTGCTGCTCAGAACATGTGAGATAAATCTTTGCTTTCTGAAATATAAGGGAGTCTAGTAAACAAATATTTCTGGAAATCTTGTCTAAATCACATGGCAAAGACTTATATAAAACAGCGTATGCAAGTTATATATGAAAAAAAGAAAATTATCCAACTTCTTTGGATGCTGCTTATTAATTTATCTTATTTTTCCACAATATAGCTGATGCTACGTCCTCTTTGTCATAACATTATTATTTGTGCATTACAGTGTTACCTTTAGTGAAGCATATTGATAACCACCTATCTCTGATCTCATTATTATTCATTTAAATGTATTTTATGCATAAAGTTAGATCACAACTCAGCAAAAACAAACTTAAAAATGCTGTTATTTCTTCAACTGTACCTTCTTGATCTAAAATCCTTGAAAAAATATGTTCTTTCCTTGAAAAGTTAGAGTCCTATGACTAGACCAAATCCTGGAAAGTAGATGAAGCCATAACTTCTCTGGTTTAAAATCAATATAACCACATGAACTTCAGAGACATAACCTGCTTCTCTGTTCATAATCATTCTATCACTCTTCTCCATTCCCTGCCTAAGCCTGGAACAGGGCTTATAACTTGTTAGTTAGATTGACCTTTGGTGAGTGTGAACAAAGCAAGATAGCAAGTTCCTGCTCTGCTATGAATATGGAATGATTGGAGCTTTGTATTTTATTTCCCCACACCCACAATAGATCTCTGCTGGGTACACCTAACTTTTGAGGACTACAAATATATTTGTCTTTCAGTATTTTGACATATTGATCAAATTCCCTAATGTTTATTTCAGGTCATTAAAATCCATAAAGGTAAGCAATCCATAAAGGTATTTTAACCAAGAAATATTTCTGTGCTCTTTTTCTTTAACAGGTAAGATGAACAGTATGACTTCAGGTATATCAAAATGTGTTGAAGTTGCTCTGTGTGAGCTCTTACCTGGCAACTGATGTATTGGTATTTTGCTAATTTGAGTTCTGTCTTCCAGAGTTCACAGAAGTAGCATTTTTTTCACCCGAAAGACATCATCTTTTGGGTCAAAAAAAAGTTTAAAAATAAATTTTGAGCGAATTTGATCAAATGAATCTTACTGTTTCAGTTTTAAAAATGCATCAGCTCCCAAGTGCGATCAAGAATCACTGCAGTAATCCCTTTACTGGGGTACGTTTGAAAACTAATATGTATATCATCTTCAACATTCTTCTTATGATATCTAACAGATGTTTAGTGAAGATTAGGTGTAGGCCCTCAGCCAAGCAGATTTTTCCTGTCATTGGGCTAAGTTGCTGCCAACTACTTTGGCCCCAAGGTGCTCCACTGTGTTTCTTATGTGAAATATTGCACCAGGTGGAAGAGAGATTCTCTGCATATTTTCGTCAGCCATCACATCAGCTGTGGACAGGTATAACCTTGTTGTTTGTAAACATTTTTGCATAGAAAAATTATTGCAACCGTGCATTGCAAAAAACACAAGTAATTATCAGAAATTGAGTTTATGAAATGTGAGTTTGTGAAGGTGAGTTTATGAAATGGCTGGGTATTATTTCAACATCAGCATAGTGGAAATTTACAGAGCCACTGATATACCTGTGCACTCAGATTAGACTGCCTTTGAGTGTTTCACTTATCTACAACACCATAAAACAACACAACATGGTATACATGAAATAATGCACCTTTTCTTTTGTCTTATAGCTATATTCATCAGAATATTTGCATATGTGCAGTGTCAGCGCTAGTAAAGAAACAAGTTTTTTCATAAATAATAGTAGAGGAAAAGTAAAACTGATTTTAAGAACTCCAGAGTGGTAAAAACTTCTCCCCTCCCCCCAAAAAAAAAAAGCAAAAGATATTTATAATTTTAAAAACTTGTTTAAACTGTGTTCTTTCTAGAATTATGATGTAATTCTAAACTGAACTACATTGTAGGGTTTTCTATCTTATCTCTTCAAGAATAGTACTGACAGAATTTTTAGTAGTCAACAACTTTCTAAAATCATATTGCAAGTCCTTATATCTCTTGGACTCCAGAACCAGGGTTTGTGCCTAATTTTCTCCTCTTTCACTAAGGAGGAGCCTATATCAAATTACCACTCACTCGTTTCTAAGAGAAGCTCCAGAGGAAGTTACCATGAAACTTTGGACATTCTGTTAAGTTTCTTAAAGAGTATCTTACAAGAGTTATTGACCAAAGTTTGTTTCCTTCTCTGTCCTCCACCCTGTTTTGTTTTTTGTTAAATACAAGATACTTGCCTTACTAAGGGGTTTTCTCAACCTGTGGCCACATCTTTACCATCCAGCTTTAATACAAGCCGTCCTTATTTAATAGCTGCCCTCATTTAGTAGCCAGACCTTTATCATTTGTCTTTACTGTGAAAATCCCAGGAGAAAGTAAACTTAATAGAAGCTGCCCCAGTTTAAAGCCATAGAGGGATATAATTGAGTTTAACAGAAATTGATTTAACAGAAATTGACCTAAAATACAATTAAATAATAATAGTCATATTATGTGTGAGTTTCTACTCACTTAACAGACTGCTTATGGCACTGTTGGACTTAACAGACTTAGGGCACTGTTTCTGTACAAACTGAAGGTAACTGTTGGCTTCAGCTCCCTCACTGGCTGAAGAGTGCGTGCGTTTTCCTCCAGCATTCCTATTACTTCCCACTGCTATAGAACCAATAGGTCTGATGGCTCCTGGTGTCCCCAGCAGAGTCCCTAGTAGTTAGGTTGAGAAGGGATTCAAAGAATCCCTTGACAGATGCAAAAAGAGCAAACTTGAACCTAAACTCAGTCTACATAAGGACATACTCAGATTTTTCTTAACATTTGTACAGCCTCAGTATAGTGATGAAATGGGTTAATTAGTTAATCAGTTAATTAGTCATGAATTCTCTTTTTCATACAAGATTTAGGGAATTCTTAATCAATGTAGTAGGAAACTTGTTCTTAAATATTTATTTTACTAAATTTTATTATTTAGATTTTAGTAATAAGTCTTCATTGATAGCATCCATTTGTATTTAAATAAGCACCAACACATACTTTATTCTATCTGAATATGGATTAGTTGTGTGGTTACATTAAAATAAATTTCATTACTTCTCAGTGCAGCTAGTGTATTTAATTTTAAGGAAAATACCTTGTTTTGAAACATTCCTAAAGAGAAATTTACTATCTCCAAGAGCTGGGTAAATGGTTACAAGGGGAAATATGCCAAAAGCAATTAGCATAGGCTATAACTCCATATGATGCATTAGAATTTTGTTTTATGTGAAACAGTTTCCAATCCATGATAAGCAAATGGACATCACTTCACATAAATTAGCATGCTGGTGCCATTATATCAGAACAATTTATGGATGATGTCAGTTGTCCAACTGTGTGATTAACTTGCAGTTCTTTGCCTAAGGTTATCTACACACTGGCCTTTAAACTACAGTAAAGCAACTTTGCTACATGTCAGGTGTGCAAGTAGAGATAAGATTTTGGGATGTAGTGCTACATTTACTGATGAATGGTACCATTTAAATTTTTCCCTAGGCACAGAACTCAGTAAAGATAGCAGTATCAGAAAACTACCAGAGCAGTGGCCAAGTACTGGCATTGGAGGTCTTGTGTAATCAAGGCAGGTAGTTTAGCTTTCTTGCTGCTGAATAAACACTGACCTAAATGTAGCAAACTAAGACATGAGTTTAGCTTCAGTAAGCATCATAGTGTAAGTAAACACAGTTAAAGTCATAAACTGTGAATTTCACACACTTAGAGGATCAACACAAAATTCTTTCTGTTGTTGGCTTTAGTAGTGATGAAGTCTTGAGTGGCCCTCGAGAATGTGACTTTCATCCAAGTTTGACTAGCTATTTTATCAGCAGATTTGGTTTCACAGTCATCATTAAAACTTCTAAGTCTTCAAGAAGTGTCAGGGAAATAGATAATACAAAGTGATAAAAATCACTTCCTTGGGCAATATGTATATTCGCAAATTCTTTGTGCAGTTTGATTTTTTATAGTGTTAGTGAAAAGTGAAATAAATTACTGTTACATGTTGTTGGCGATCTAATCCAATGTTTATCTATTCTGTAAATATACCTGAGCATGCAGTACCAAAAAACATAAGGATATCTATCTTACTCTTGATTACTTGGGCTTGATTACTGAAGTCTATTTACTTTTAAC